AGCTCCTGTTTCCTGGAGAAGAAAACAAAATGAGATTCATCAGACAACAGGTGTAAAGGTCTGTGAATTGTGTGTGTGTGTGTGTGTGTGTGTGTGTGTGTGTGTGTGTGTGTGTGTGGTACCTTCATGCTGGGGGGGGCGGTGCGGGGCGGCGAGGGCGGACATTCTCCCAGAGGAACGTTGGAGATGTTCAGCAGCTCCTGTTTCCTGGAGAAGAAAACAAAATGAGAAATAAATCAGATCCGTTTATTGACGTCCATGAACACACCATTAGCCAAATTGTATCAAAGATCCTCGTCTCTGAGCCCACGACTGTCAAACGAGGCTTCTTCAGTATTTCCTCTCTGAAACAGTCCACAGCTTCTCATCACACAGGATCTGGCCGGTGAGCTGTTTTCATTACGTCGTGCTACTCTTGCATTGGCCCAAATTAGTCTTCACTAACTGGTATCCAGTGGAGAGAAAGATGCAAGGAAAGATGGAAGTGAGTGGTGGTGGAAGAAGTGCTCTGAAGCTTTAAAGGACCAACGCAGCAAATTAAAACTAAAAACCTTGAAAAATGCTTCCCATGTGGACACATCAGGAGTTTAAGTATTACAGCAAAAGTCCTGTTTTGTCCATCTGACGCATCTTTTGGTGAAATGTTGGATCCTTTGGACACTAATTGAAATCAAACCATGTGAACAGTTTAGAGGGAAAATCACTGTTTTGCTGTTCACTACTCAGACACATCTGAAATGTGAGCATGACTACAGGAGACCTTTTCTAAGACATCATTAGTTACCAAAGTTTGGAACCAGCGACTTGATCATTAACAATGTGATGTGTTGGTTTATTATTCACTGTGTAAAATCTTCACACCACAAGACACTGAAGCTGTCAAATGAATGTAGTGGCATGTAAAAAGTAAAGGAGCATTAATGGAAGTCAAGTCCAAGTGCTTTCCATCACGGCAAATGTGGAAAAACAATCATTAAGTTAAGAACAACGGTGATAATTTTACAACAAACCATTTAACCCATTTATCTTGCCAACACATTTGGTCTGTGCTGATCTGCATCGCCTCATTTAGTTAACTATGTTAAAGCTAACAGGTGAGCTAGGCTAAATAAAAAGCTAACACAACTAGCGACTGCTAATGGAAATTAAAATGAATGGAACACCTGATCTTCAAAATACAGAGAAAGCTAAAAGAAGACAAACGAAATGTGATTCTATTCAAAATATGCCAACACATCTGAGCTAACAATGTCCCTGAGGTTTACACCGAAGGCATCAATAAAGTTTTATTCTATTCTATTCTAACGTCACGTCTTGTTTGAACTTCACGCTGTCTTTACGGAGTTTTGTGTTGGCCACTCAGCGCTCGTCTCATTCATGTCTGCTGGACCACAGCGTCGTTAAACCTATTTGGTTACTGAACTACATCCGTATTTGAACCTTTATTGAAAGCGTCACAGTGAGCGAACTGGAAGTGAGGATCTGGTTGCTCTCTGCTGTTTCATGTTTAGGGTCTGACAAGGAGCCTTTACAGGAGGCCATCGCCTTTGAATGCTGTTTCTGCACCGCACTCAAACATGAGAGCATTAGGCCTCCCAGATGTCAGAGGATGAGCTGTGGCTGAGAGAGGACTGGCTCAGCCTGAAACCTGCCATCTAGTCTGATGAAACCCACTTTCAAGTAACATCTACAGCTGTAATTGTGATGAACACCTCTCGTACTGAATGTATGACAGAGATCAAGAAGGTTTTGGACAAAGACAGACGTTAACCCGCTCCCAGGCCTGCTGACGGTTTCTTTGTGCCTCTACTTGCACCAGACAAGAAGGTCTTGTTGAAAATGTGCCAGTCTGCCTCCATCTCGTCCCGTCACCAACCTTTGGTTGTATTCTGCATTCATAAAGAAACTTATATTCAGTGAAATCGCCTGATGAAGCCATTCAGGGTTCATGTCTCCTCTGCAGTTCAGCCAGCGGCTGTTTTTCTACATGAGTGGAAATCTGGAACTGATCACTTTAGATTCAAGTTTTAATGGAGTGTTTATGTGAAATTAATATGACTCTTTGAGATATAAGAGCTTCTAGTTTTCCACTCACTGGTGTCAAGTGGTTGTGAGCAGCACAGACTCTACTACAGATTGGATAAAACAGTGAAACAGTGAGCATGAGGCAGAAAGCTACAAAAACCACCACTCCTTTCCTCCACTCACTTGAGTCAGCAAAGAGCTTTGACATTAACAGTTGTCTCTCCATTTTTATGAGGCTCACAAACACCCAAACAAAGATGGAAAACCTTGGGTGACGTCTCCATGAGCCACGTGAGGGCGAAGCCAGCCTGACCAGCCCTGTTCATGCCTCGGTGCAGATGAAAAGCCCATACTGGCCACTTCTTTCCACAGGCTCAGCGCTCACACAATGCACCACTGTGTCCTCTGTATGTGATGCTGCAGCATGTTAGCTCACAGCGGCTGAAGGTGCATTGTGAGCCCAGAGCTGACAGCACTGACGAACATTGTTCGGTGTTCTTTCTTTGCTCTCTTCAGCCTGCCGGTATGAAGGACAGGGCGTTTCCACCGCTGCCCTGTGAAAAGGAAAAGCTTGTTCAGACCTGGTCCCTGAGGTGGACGGCTGCTGGGCGTCTCTGTTGGCCACAGCCTGTCTGCCTCCTGGACACTCACACACCTGCACACACAGATGCTCTTTACTGACGGAAAGTGAACGTCGGTGCACAGAGGGAGGGAAGATGGAGCTGCTGTCCTTGCAGCCTTGACTGTCTCTGCGGCGACATAACTACAGTGATGTCACAGCAGCTGACTCCCACCCAGGAAGGGAGGGAAGGAGGGAGGGAAACTATTTAGGAGGACGAGGTCATGGAGACAGTGAGTCAGACGAAAGATGAGGACGTGTGGAGCAGCATTTTATCAAAGGTGTCTTGGATGGGAGCATGACCAGATGCTATAATATGCAAGATAGCAGCATTTCTACACTCCTCAGTTGAGTCAGTGTGTGAGGCCGTGAAGGTCAGCGGTGGGATCAGACGACCACGGTTGTGCCTCTCACGTGTAACATTTGAGAGCTAAGAAGATCAGACAAAATCATGGTCAGACTGAAGAGACAGAGTCGTGACGTTTCCTTTGCGGATTCATCACGTTGTCATGACAGACACTTGCTGGGCGCCTCGTTGTTCAGACGGACCTCCTCTATGATCTCAGCATCTGCTTTGGTTTATTAGAGACAATTAAAGGGAACTCAATAAAAGAAGATAACACTTCTTTCATTTTATTTGTAAGAAAAGTTTAGCCCAGAGAAGGAAAACGCTCGAGAAGAGATTAAAGTTTTTATCTATCAGTGTCGGAGAGAAACTTTAGAAATGAGTTAAAAATCGTTTTTATGGAGCAGCAGATGGAAATGTCAAAGAAAGGTCTTTGATATTTCTGGAAATTCCTTCAGAAAATAGGCGTGTTTTGTTAAACAACCCTCTGAGTCTTTAAAGATTGCTGGGTATTTATCTGTCAGAGGAGCAGACGCTTCGTCTTGTGACTGCAATGATAAAACATGAGAGACTAAATCTGGGCATTTAAAACATGTCAGTTTGAATTGTTTTACCTCCAGTATCTCAACATAAATGACCAACTTCTAATCCAAACTACATGTCATGCTACACTGACTGCATAAGGTTATGGAAATGTAAACATTAAGACTTTAGCTTAAGTAGTTTTCTCACTCATACACGGCCATTATGAAACAGAAAATATGAAATTAGTCCATCGCATCCTTAGAAGACACATGGTGTAACTCTAAAGGCAATAAGGAACCATTCGGACCAGTTTCAGGTGGTTCTCCTCACAGGTCATGTTTTACATGTTCCTTATACTACCAGTCCAGATGGGAGGAGGTCTGGCACTCTGGGATGCCTTCACTTTAGCTGCTCAGCACTGGTTCTGGTGTCATCAACCATTTTCAGTTTGCAGTGAATGCGGAGGGCAACATGGCTTGGTCTCTGTCCAAAGACGCCCCGCTAGACAGTGGAGGTTTGCTCGGTGGTTGGGAACAGCCTTCACTGCAGCACACCTTTGTGACCACGACATCGCTGAGTCACATCACTGAGTCGCCCTCGGAGACGCTTCTCACTATACTTTTCTTAAGAATCCAAACAATTCATGGTTGACTCAGGACCTCCTTAGGTCGCCAGAGACACACCCTCCGAGCTCGCAGTGGATCAGATGAACGGCTGGTGAGACATGCAGCCACCAGACACAAGCGTACAAAGATTCCTGGATTCATCAGTGAGCTGAGCCACAGCTGAGCCACAGCTGAGCCTTCATCAGCTGTCCAGCACTCACCCCACCTTCACCATAGTCTATGAGCTGCTAGCACAGTCTTTCCTTAGCATTACTTTGCTATGTGCAGATGTTAAAGACAGCAGGTGGGATTCAGGATTTCAGAAAATCCTCTAACACCAATATTCTTGTTTGGCGGAGGACAAGTAGAAGTCTTGGACACTTGCTGGCTCTCAGAGGCTCTGAAACCAAGCTTTGCCTTTTGTAATGAATTGGTGAATTTTCAGTACATTTCTTGATCAGTGCTGTTCTATGATGCCTTTAATTTGGGTTTTGAGGAAGTCAGACCCTGAGAAAGTTCTGTCTAATCTATCTAATCTATATCACAAAGTCAGACAACGTTCAGGCCTCCAGCTGCAAAGTCGTCACAAAGACGTGTGGTAGAACTTCCCCAGAGAGCCAAAAGCTGCCAAACCATTACATGACTTTAATACACATTAAACAGTAGCTGGGAGGTACAGACAGCAGCAGGTTGGTTGGTCAAGTCACTCCCGAACAATTCATTCATCTACAACAATAAACATGCTCTTTAACTGATTTCAGAAAATAGCAGTTGTTGGCTGAAGTGAATGAGTGAAGTGTTCGTGAACCTGAGCCTGTCACCTGGAGCCAAGCCTGACTGGCTGAACAAAACGGGACAGATCACGCTCCACATTTACATCAAAACCAGTACAAGATGTACCTTTCCTGTACAGCAGCGTGTCTATAATCCTTTGGCTGGAGCTAATTATAGTTAATTCAACACTAATTGCATCTACACAGTTATCATGTTTATCTAATGATGCCAGTAATGTGTGTGAGATGCTGAGAGGAAGACAGATGGGACAGATCTCTGTTATTTCATGCAGAGATCACATCCTTTAGATAAG